ATTAGAAAGAAGAGATGAAGGAATGGAAAAAAATACCATAACAAAGTGGTCAGTACCTGAAACAAGAAATATTTGCAATGATCATTGGAAAGTGGCTGCGAGGACTTAATAATTTGGTGAAGATCGGTATCCATGAGTTCGTAGACCAAGTAGACATCCTTAAAACTTGTCCTGTGGATTGGCATCATGACATCTTTTAAAGCAATGACATTCTCGTGCCGAATGTGTCTAAGCAGCTTCAGTTCCCTCAAAGTTCTCAAAGCATCAATAGAATTCTCAAATATATTACCAATCTTCTTAATTGCAACTCTCTCATTGGTCTCCCGATTGATGGAAGAGCATACCACGCCATATGCTCCGCGGCCAATAGGCTTGATTGGAACGTACTTCGTATCAATCTCAAACAAAGTTTGCCATATTGTATAATAATGCTTTCCCTTTGGCTTAATTCTGTTCGGTGGTTCAACTAGAGTTGCCATTTCCTGCAAATCAACACCACCACAATATATTCTCAACAAGTAAACACACAGAGGAGACTAAAGTAATAAGCTCACAACTATAACAGTAAATTCATTATTATAGCCACGGGTCATGCATTAAGCAATCAACAGTCTGTTAAAGCTGGCATCAAACAAATATCAGAAAAACAATGCATTATATATCAGAGGTATTGTTGCAGGATAAAGGTGAATCATTGGATACTTTTTTATGCCATGTTAGAGAAGGTTCGAATCAATTCTTACTTGTAATTTCTACATCTGGATTTTGATCTTTTGATGTCACCCTGTCTCTTTTTAGAACCTATTCTCTCAAAGAATATCTTTTTAGACATATTTTTTGTTAAAAAAAATACCAAAGATTCAATTTTATCTTTCCTCTTCCCCTGATCTCAACCCACTCACCCACCCAATAGCAAAGAAACCAAATCTTGATTCCAAAAAGAGTGAGAAAAGCGTTCATACCACAAAATTCAGCTTTCATCCCAGCATCTCCCCTTTCCTTGCAGCTCTGACTCGGAGGCCCCAAAAGCGAATCCAAAGACGAAGAATCCCTCGATTGATGCAGCTTCAAGAAAACGTTCTGTACCAAAAACAAATTTTCACAGTTGAAGCCACAACTAATACAGTGGATTGGATTCACGAAGTGGGTCTCGTCTCATTTGAAATCTTATCAAATAAACAATAAATAAATATCTGAATTTCATCGAGATCAGGCTAGAGAAGAAGAAAAAGAGGCCATAGCCATAGCCATAGTCATCATCATATTAAAAAAGAAATAAATATAACGTATCCATATCATACAATAATATTAATAATAACAGTAATACTTACCTAAACATAAAGGCAGACAATAAAATATTATGTAAATATAAAAGGAGGGTCCGATTCAATTTAGAAGGGAGAAAAGAAAGGGAAAGAGAGCATAAGCATTTTAGCATATCCTGCGACTCACATGAGTCACGACGACGACCCCAACCCACACGGCATTGGTTTTGTTTCGTGGTATTATCACTGTTTAGCTTTGCTTTTCTCGCAAGAGAGAATGCAAAATACGACAACGTAAGTATGTGTGTTTGGCCTTTCGGAACTAAAATACTAAATTAAAAAACAGTCTTGCTTTTTCTTTTTCTTTTTCTTTTTCACGCCAACGTTAAGATTCACAAATTTGGTTCAGCCGTTTGGTATTAATTTCGATTCAGGCGCAAACAACTTGGCAAGTTTCCTTTCAACAAATGTTTTGAAAATGTAAGGAAAGTATTTGGTAGGGAGCGAGGTGAGGTACCAATCCTACGTCTACAACTGCAAGTGCAACCAAAACCTATTCAATGCTCGCTCGCCAAAGGAACCCTAACTGCGTGAGTTCGCTTCTACGCTCTCTTTTGCCCCACACTGCTACGTACACCTATTTCTCTACTCCTCCTTCCGATTCCACGTTTTTCCTTCTTTTTTAAATATCTTCAACATTCACTCAATATAGTCAAAATCACATATATTATTTTACAAACAGTTGGGATATTAATTAATTGCTTATCCACATTGAAAAAATAAAAGTATATATTATATGATTTTGATAAATATAATTCACTGAGTATCCAATATTTATATTATTTTCTAACAAGTAAAATTAATGAATTCGATATTTGTTGTATATTTAAAGATTCTTTTTTAAAGTAAGACAATGTTTTTGACCGAATAAATCTAAAAGAAATCAAGCTACAACAATTAATTTGATATAATATTTATTTGCTTATATTATTTTGACCTATGTGAATTTCATATAAAAAATAATAATATTGAGTTAGATTGATTACCGGAATTCTACTATTCGGATATTTAAAGGTTTGATTTAGTCTTCCATTTAACAAAAAGGTCGCCTTCAAGCTTTTTATAAAGATTTTTTTTTTAAGGCTATGACAGTGTTAGGTATGTGATTTTGATTCTTGGAGGACATAATTAACACATTTTTTTATTTAATATTGATCCTTATTTAATATTGACTCTTATATAGAATTGTTGGTTGGTTATTTTGTCAAGTTTAGTTATTAATTATTATTATTTTTTTTTAAAGATCTAGAAATAATAAAGATTGACAAGTGACGTTTTAAAAGATGATAATTGATTTATTAATAAAGTTGTTATAAATTGATATTATATTAATCGAGTTTTATTTTATAAGAATCGTAATTTTAAAAAAAATTAAATCTTTTTAATGTTCAAATAGAATATAGATAATACATTAGTCTATCCACCACTTGTGATAAATATATTATATCTAAACAGATAATAATATAATATACGTAACAGATGATATAAAAGAGTTGAAAAGTAATGAATCTGTTTAATATTCGAATAAGAGTATAGATGACGTATATAGTTTTGTATTTTATAGATCTCTTGTTGAAAAAATGTATATATCACATAAAAGATGCATCATTAAAATTCATGAAGAATTGTAAATATATATTATGGAGAACTATATATATTAAAATGTTACATTTTTTTACTTTGAAGTTTCTACATTGTGTTGGTCATGAATGAAGCAACGAAACTCCAATTTTAAAAAATTTAGATAGCTATGAAAATATAATGCAAAGATATATAAGTTTGGCTCTTAAATGTTCATGCCAATTCACACTCTTTCAAGCAAATTACTCTTTTCAACTTTTAACACTTGTATTTGTCAAAATAAGAGTTAACTTTTATATATTCTTTTACATATTTAAATTTTTTAAAAAAAAGCTAGATTTTCTTACATTTAGAAGTAACTTTTTAATAAATTCGTAAAATAAATAATTTTAAAGAAAAAATCATAAGGAAATAAATTATATTTTGAAAACAGTGACGGTTGTATTTTACTTTTTTTTATTTCTTCACTTATTTTTATTAAGATTTTATTTTAGTATTATAGTAGTTCAAAGTCACATTCTTAATTTTAGTTCACTTTATGTAAAGTTTCAAGTTTTTTCAATTAATTCATTGAATGGGTCAATAGAAAGATTTTATTTTAAAAATCAATCCATAGACCAATGATTAAATTGATAAGTGAGATTATTTAAAATTAGTGAAGAAGTTGATGAAATTATCTCTCATTGGCAACGATATTTTTATAAATTTCATAAAAACATAAAAAAAATAGTTCGAGTAAGTTCTCATATAAATGAACCGAAATATTAAATGATGTTTATCATAGATATAATTATTTGATCAGGATTTTATTTTATATTATCATAGAATGAGAAAATCAAACATGGAAAGAAAAATCAAATAAACAAAATTGGATTATTTGACACATTTTATATTTATTATTTGACACACACACATTTTCGATAAGTTGATAAAAAATTTGTTCTTAATGTATCTTGTGAGACCCTAAATAATTAAACTCTGAAATACATGTCAAATCAGAATTTAATTCCCTTAAGCCACTCTGATTTTATGGAAAAACGCACCCCAACATTTCATCCGTGTCACTAAAAACGCACCAAACTCTGCATGCACGCATGCCACTTGTCACGTTGGAAGTTTCTGAAGTCAGAGTGGGGGTGCAGGTGTCCGAAAATGAGACGCTCGTTCGTCTGGAATTGGAAGGAACAAAAGTGATTTTTCGAAAACCCTTCCACTCACCTGCACCATTCATCTTCTTCCTCAGAGCCTTTCATCTTCTCCAACTTCTCTCTAAAACTTCCAACCTCTCTCTACTGTAATTCTCACGTATCTTCTCCGATCAACTTGCAGCACCGTAGGAACGTTCACCCAACTACAAGCTACCAACTGGACCGAACAGTTTCAAAGACTGAAACTGGTAAGTCTCCTTCAGAAGCTTGTCCTTAGGTTTCTGGAAAAACTAGGGTTGTAGTTGCATGCAAGTAGGTAGTCTAAGTGTTCTGTTTTCTGTGGTTAGATTTGTTTTGGAGGAGTCAAGAACATAA